AATAATTATAATCCTTGCACTAGATACTAATTAGTAAATAATTATCATAGCAACTTTTTTTTTGGGGGGGTGTTCTTTTTTTCTCCCCCTAACCACTCTAAATTGCATATCCGGCCCCCCCATATCGCAAAGGGGTGCAAAGGGTGTTGTTACATTGTGAATTGAAAATTAACTCCGATCCTATGTTCCCCACTGTCCTACAGCTATTCTCCACACAGGCTCAGTGGGACTGCCTTGGGGAAGGAAGGGGACGTTATGTGTGTTCCTGCTTAGCACCCAGAGTACCTGCTTTCCAGATGCACACCTCTTAAACTCTGATTTTCTTGGTGGTTTTTTTGTTTGGTGTTTTTTTTTTTTTTTTTTTTTTAAAGTAGGTCTAGGAAACAGAACAATGACAGGAGGATCATTGTGAGACAATCAATGTGCAGAATTGTAGCCAAAATCTGAATTCACCAGAAACCAATAAGCTGAAATAGCCACAACCAACTGTCCATAGCCTTGTCTAGAATGGCTTTAAACAAAAAATATAAAGAGCCATGGACAGTCTCCTTACCCCTGTCCAGAATTTGATGTAAACAACATCCATAGAAACTGGGATTGTTAAGAAAGTTTATCCATATATCTGGATAGCAATAAAAAGCGTTTCCTAGGAAACTGTAAAATCCTGTACCAAGCAGTGTACAGCCAAGCCGAGAGGAACATTAGGTTGATTTATATTTTCAAGGTACAACTTTGCATGATTTCTTTTAGATCCTGTGATAATGTACAAGGAGAGCACGTGTGAAGGTCAGGGTTGGTTTTTTTTCTTTCGTTGTGTTTGCTTGCTTGCTTTCTTCTCTGAAATGTCTCTTGCGTAACTCATTGGTCTGGGTTTTCATTTCAATTCTCGTTTCTAATAACAGGGCATTACGGCTCCCTGCGTCTGTCCTTCCTGTTCACGCCAAGGCTGCATCAGTAATTTCCTTCTGCTGCCAAAGAAACAACGGTTTCATGTCTTCCCATTTCTTCGAGAACTGCCGCCAGCATGCTCAGGTTGCCGTCAGGGAAATTCTGGGCTTCCCAGAGATCCAGGATCACCCCGGTGGGACTCGATTTCGTAGCAAAATAATTTAGGTACCTGCAACAAGCCAAAAGGAAACTCGTTTTTTGAGCTGCCTGGAGGCTACCTGAATTTATATGATTTCAGCCCATCCCCATTGCTGGTGCTGTCAAGGTGCTCATCTGTGCAGCTGGTCTGACCAGTCTGTAGACACATCTGCTGTTATTCATCTTCACCAGGACCCTTTTGCACGTCCCTCCCAGGGGGCTTCACCGCCCAACCGCACGTAGGCAGCCCCGCTCACCTGTCCAGTTTCAGCTTGTGGGCCAGCATCCGCCAGTCGTGGCCCCTGGTCTGGGGTGCGTCCAGGCTGCTGCACAGCTTCTGCCTTATCGGGAGGGGGATGCTGAAAGCACTGGGCCCTACTATGGTGGTGATGGTGCCTGCTGAGTCCATGGGAGGATAATCAATGCCAGTAGGTTCCTGAGGTTGGAAAGAAAGCAAAAAACTATAAAAATACAGCAGTTTTGTTACTTGAGTGCAGAGACGATTGTAGAAGTGTATCCTCTGAGACTCAGAGGATACTTGCATTAGAGGGGAGCAGCCCTCTGCTAATCAAGTGTTTGTGTTAGTCAGCTGAAAAAGATAAATATTTATAACTGACTTAGGGTAGACAGCAGTTTTTTTTTTTTTTTTTTTTTTTAGGGTGAAGATTACTATGGCTGGACAAAATTGAGCCCAGCTTAATTAATCACTTACTAGAAATAATGAAAGATCAGGTACTTTGACACATTTCAGAGCAAACTGCTACTACTAGGGCAGAACAGGGCTTTCCTGGTTTGGCTGGCAGGACCCCCGTCCTGGCAGCCCCAAGCCCTCCACCACACACAGAGCCAGCACTGGGCTCATGCCACTGACATCCCTTTGACAGCACCCATGCTCTCCGAAGCCTCTGATGCCGGGCAGACCACAGAGTGACGGCTAATACCACCCCAGGCCCAAGCTGATCCCTCATTTTCCTGTGGCTTTAACTCTGTGCCGGAGACAGATGGAGCATGTGCGCTCAGGGGGAGACGGGACGGCTGTTGCTCTCCTCCCGAAGACCAGCACTGCACTCAAAGGCAGTGGCAGCAGTGTTTTAAGGGGAAAGTCACCCCCAAAGCCAGGCTGTCCCCTGCAGGTATGGGGTTGATGCTTTCTGATGCAGTCCTCCCAGCTGGGAGGCTCCCCATGACACAGCTGTAATGTGTCCCCGGTGAGAATAAAAAGCAGTTGGCTCTTCTGGGCAAGGATTTTATCTCTTCCTTGGCCTGGAAGGATTTAGCACCCTCAGGTAGGTAGAAAGAAGGACTCAGTAGTTGGTAGGACAAGGGTAGCTGGTCAGTTTGGATGGCTGGGTTTGCTCAGGAACGACAAGGTCCTGCAGGGTGGCTGAAAGCCTTGCCAAACCCCATCGATGCTGACTGGCTGCCCGAGCATGCAGCGGGGATGCTCCTCCCACGCACAGCACTTGTCACCTCCAGCTACCAAAGCATGTGATGGAAAAAGAGGCAAGCCGGGCTGGGTGTCCTTTCATGCCTCTCTAAACCCCCTTCTCACCTGCTCCCCTTTGCAGCATGACAGGCCTGAGGCTGGGCTGGCAGAAACAGGGGAGCTTCTTCATCTCCGCCTCTGCCCAAGTCACAGCCCCGGACAGCCAGAAACACCCGTGCAAAAGAGTCATCATTAAATGTCCATTTGTTTGCTTCTCTGTGAGCTGCCTTGTTGCTTTGTGTCAAACCAGCTGCTGGGAAGGCCCTGTAAAACCTGAAATTGTCTCAAAACCAGGCAATGCCTGGTTTAACCTGCCATCACAAATCCCCCAGGCAGCTTGTTGGAGATGCTCACAGTCATGTGCAGTCTGGTTTCCCCCTCAAAAAAGTACACAGAGTTGGAAAGGGGAGAGCCAGTATCCATGAGCAATGAACAGAATTAAACCTCTTTTGCCTACACTCTTTTATCCACAGCAATTAATTCACTTCCACTCTATAAATATGCCTTTTTTTGCTTTTTTTTTTTTCTCCTTAGAAATGGCTGCTTTTTTCTTTTTTTTCCCCCCTTAGAAATGGCACTTCAGGCTATCAGTGAAATTTCTAACCAAGGAAGGTTTATGCCACACTGTAATGTCCTCAGTTAACATGCCCAAAGCAGTGCCAAATGAGGCATCCCTACTCGGGCGCCAAGGCCCTGCATCGCAGACCAGCCACCTCAACCCTACCGCTTCAGTCAATGAGCTACTGTCCTCTAACTGCTGGCAGCAGGGGCTGCCCGGGAGCCAGCAAAACGATTCGTATGCCACTGCTGCTGCCTGCAGGCTCACCCGCGCTGGCAGGTCAGAAGCGGCTGAGGGTGGTGACTGGTGGCATCGCAGATGGACAACCTTCCCTTTTTATTCTGGGCCAAGGGATGCAAGCGACACATTGACGCAGTGCTGTCCCGGCTCCTGATGTGGCCTGCTGCCCCAGGTGCATCAGGATGGCTGCAGAGGGAGTCCCGGTATCCGTGGCAGTGCCCCGGGGCTCTTTTGGGGGAGTACCGACAGCACAGGTTAAAAAGGGGGCTTCAAAAAGAAATGGTGGGAGACCTTTATCTCACTTTTCCTCTTGCCTCCCAAATTTGCATGTTTTGGCACTCATTGCATTTGTATTTTTGAAGTCCCAGTGGAAGACACTGTATCAAGCCAGAATAAGACAGTTTAATCTGCAGGGTGCAGAATGTTTACATCCTTTACAGGGGACAAAAAAGAGCCCATAAAGGGAGGATGCAGGAAACTGTATTACTATATTTTTACCACATGGTGACAGAGGCAGAGAGGCAGATCCAGCAATGAAGAAAGGCACCAGCATGGTGCTGCAATGCCTAACCGCTAGCTGCCTGCCTCCCCCACAAGAAGGGAACAATGTGCGCAATTTGAAATCACCGGAAACAAATCAAACCAGACACCATCTGAAAGCAGAGACCAAAACACTCCCTTACATGACCTAGTTAGTCACCAGAAGAAAGTGTGAGGAACCACAGCTAAGGTTTGCTGATGCCTGGTCTGGTGTCTTTGTCACAACAACCCCTTCCTCTTATGCCTCTAGAGGCATACACATCGGTTTCCAGGTTGCTGTTATCACACTTCCAGGTAACTTTTGTCACCAAACCAGCTGAGTTTTAGGGGCTTTTTTCTAGTAACAAAGTTGACACAACCCTATATGCCAGCCCGTAGCAGCCCAAGGTCCTCCTGCCCCTCACTTGGGCTCAGGAACATCACTACATGTCAACCAGGAGGAGCAATTTTGCAGTAGGCAGCCTTGATAGCGGTGGTATTATTCCCTCCCTCTATTCATCCCTGATGGACAGGATTGCAGCACAAGACAAGAATATTATGCTGTTCCCTCTGAATCCATTATCAGGCCCTATTACACACAAGCAGCTGAAGATGATTATAGTGTATACTTGCATTTCATTAAAGTTACTCTCAGTTCTTTCTCTTCTCTGTGAGGTTAAATTAGAGATTACCTCAATACAGCACTTATTACAATAATTGTTTATGATACTTGTTTTACCATCTGTCTTTAATGCTGTGTAGTCCCCAGCTGAATATGTAACTTTACACCCAATAACCAAGCAGATGTTATGGGTAATGGCACACACCATCAGGGCCCTACAGCACAAGTAACTTTTGTCTGTGCTCTCCCAGCCCTTCCCCAAGTCAGCCAGCAGCAATTCCTGCCCAAAACCCTGCTCTTCGTAGCTGCCGAGGGTACCAGGCACAAAAGCCACAGCACATTCACTGAATTCAATGCCACTTCACACCTGAACATGTCACTTGGTCTCAGCCCTAAGCTTGACTGCCCCAAGGAGCACAAATTCTCCAGGTGCTATGTAGCATCAGCAAAGATGTTCCAAAATTTATAATCATTTCTCTACTGGAATATGTCAGCCATCAAAAGAAAAATTGTTGAAGATAATAGTCAGGATTTGTAGCAGTAGCAAAACCCAAGGAGAAAAGTCTATTGCAACTAGACCACCTGATATTCCCTCTTGCACAGCAGTTATTTATGTGGGATCAGAGTGGAGTGGCTCACGCAAACATATGCCAATGACATTTTCCTATTCTCTTTCCTCCCTCTCTAGGGAAATGTCTGGCATGATGGTCTTGTGGACTGCCGAGAAACAGGACCATGCAGTGCTTCACGAGATGTGTTAGGGAGTGGTAGGCAAAGAGCTCCTCCACACAGACACAGAAAAGCAGCACTAGCAGCGAGACCATAGCTGCCCTCTTCCCTCCCTCGAAGGGGGGACGCTCCCTTCCAGATGAGAGAAACTAAGGGAAAATGCAACAGGAGATACAAAGCAATGACTTAATCCATCCCTTATATCCATCCCAGCAGTCAGGAGGAAAATGGGAAGCACTAAACAGGTAACAATGGGAAAGGATATACTTCCTTAGCCCTCCCATGTTCCTGCAGTCGGATAGGGAAGCACAACGATGTTATTTACCTCTGAGACAGAGCAGTTGAGCTGGAAGATTTGCCCTTCTCCTTCGACCTGCCGCACGCAGAGTTTGCACACCAGCTCCAGGGTATTCAGGCTGAACCTTTCTAGTGTGAAGGTGCAATGCAGGTTCCTCTGGCATCCACTCCAGATGTGGTAAAAGGGAATCTCCTGCAAGAGAAAAGCAAAGAAAAAGTATAGTAAGGGAGGGATGTGGGACCAGGGCGCAGATGCTATATGACCAGAGACAGTGGGCACCATGCTACTGTCACTGCAAATGGTCCAGGGAAAAAAATGTCCACGGCACTGCAGCCTGGCAGTGGGTGTTTTTTAAACACCCCTGGGTGTCACTGTATTTCTTTAAGCCTCACTGCTAGGATCCAATGTGAATGGTTTGTGCTGCTCACCTGGTATTTAGCCAGCAGTTTGCTCTTCCAGAGAGAGTGGGCAATGTCATGAATGGACAGGCGGAGGTTGTGGGTGCTTCCCTTAAAATGCAAAGCTTTGGGTTCCTCCAAAAGCTGTCCGCCCATCTGCCGCTCCAGCTGGAGGACCTCCTGCAGTATGGTGATAACAAGAAGAAAGCGGTCAGGTTTCATCCAGACAGCATACTGGTCTTCTGATTCCTCAAGATCAACTGCTGTAGATGCTATAACTTGTATAATACAGAAAAAAAAATGCACAGGCATTACACAGGCTTGTGTTTCCCTGTGAACTGAAATTGCACTAGTGGATCTCAGTGTAACCCCCTCGCCCCATCGCACAGCAGCAGCCCAGCAGGGATGCAGGCACCCATGTCTCCTTTGGGAGACACAGCATTATCTGACATGTCCTGTAAGCAGGAAGTTTAATTGCATGCAATTATACTGAATGCAGAGACTTTGCATACAGGCACTGTTTGAATACTGAAATATATCAGTCTCCATCGCTCACCAAACTGGACTTCTAATGGTAGCTTCTAATGGTAACTTCTCACGGTATTTTGCTTTTGGAAGCTCTTTTTGCATATTTGCTGATATGGGACCTGTGCATACTGCTGGCCCTTCAGCTTGCAGCCTCCTGGCAAACTGCTCCGTGACAGAGTGGTACAGGAGATAGCACATGCCTACTGTCAAGTGGGATGGTATCAAAACAAGAGCAAGACACTGTGATGGAGCATTTTGTACATATGAATACATAGGTTTGAGGTTAGTGAAATATTGATCTTGTAATTAAAAGCTAGTAAGCCAAGAGTCTGGCCATTTTCTACAGCTAAAAATAAATATATGCCTGCAACTAATGAGACCACAGTGGATGGTTGCCTACAAACAGACTAATTGCAGTCCACATGGAAGAAGCAAGTACAAAAGCACCTACACGAGCCCCATTAGAAGCCAACACAGCCAAACTCAGTCATATTTAATTACAAGAGCCAACCAACTAGTTTCACATGTCCAAAGCCAATCACGCACAGACTGAGCACACTCGAGGAGTATGTGGGCACACAAACCCAGTTGGCCTGGGGGCCAACTAAAGGAGCCTCCATTTTAGCTAAGCACAAAGCAAGCTACTCTTGATCACGTTCAGGATCTAGTTAGCATACAAGAAAAGCCCCTGTCCCTGGCAAGCTCAGCACCCGGCAGATACTGAAGCTAAAATGATGTTCGTTTATCAGCCATTAGAGGAAAAGAAACAAAATCAGGAAACCTTTTAGATTAAGGTTATGCCAATGAATCAGTTCCAGCTTCTTTCCAGCGCACCCTAATTACCTCGTCAAGATGTCTAAAGAGCAGTCAATAGTAATTATCTGATTACGATAGATCTTCATTATGTCCAAATTACCTCCCTGGAAGGGCCAGAAGATGACTCGCAGCACTGCGTGAGCTAATTGCAGACGCCACCTCTCAGGCACGTGGGGCGTGGGGGGCCGAATGACCACCCCTGCCTGTGCAGTGCCAGCCCTGGGAGCTGCACTACTGTGAGGAAAAACATTGCAGCATGGTGCGGCACCATCCCACCCACCAGATCTGTGTGTCTAGTTTCAACATCCCACTTTCGGTAACCACCTTTGGTCACTGTAGCCCCTCTACATGCTCCAACTGGAGGACGCCGAGCAGCCCATGCTTCTCCCATGCCACTCAGCTACTTAATTCAGAATTAATCTGGAGCCATGATTTGCACAGCCCTTCAAACCTGCAGGCTGGCTGTAGCCATAAGTCATTTTATTTAGAGCAGTGCTTATCCCACTGGCTGGTGCCTCTATGCCCTCCTCTGCGCCCTGCTTGCCCCATGTTTGCCCACACCTTTGGGTGGCTCCAGCCACCCTCCCCATCACCTCTCACCACCCTTTTGAGCAGCGACTTACACCCTTACGCTACTCCTAGGAGAGGGAGCTGTGTAAGGCATCACTATACTGTCAGTGCCACCAGAACCTCTATTTGGAAAGGGCTTCCCCATTAACAGGGCACAAGCAAGCAATGGCGTTCAGTCTAAGCCGTTGCCTTTCTTCATTAGAGAGAAAAATACGCATTAAATAACCAAGATAAGATCAAATGCCTGTTGTGCTTTTTTTTGCTTTTTTTTTTTGAGCAAAGTTACTGTGCAGCACAAGGTGGGTTGGGGGATGCCACCCTGCTGCAGCCTGAAATCATTCACTCGCCCCCAGTGTGGGAGGCAGCCGTTTCCACGTGCCCAGCTGCTCAGCCCCTGCCACGCTGCCACACACAGCTCACATACCTCAATCTCAAAGCCATACATGAATAAACAGATGAGAATAAAGCAGCTGGATTTCTTTATAGTTATTGTATTACTGCTTTTTTTTACAGCAGACTAGCTTCGGCATCCTCCTCAAAGTGCAAAAATCAGCCTTAAAAAAGAGGCCAGCGCTTGAGGTCACAGCTACCCTCGCCCTTCCCCAAAAAGCGTTTTTGTGAGCATCCCATCCGGGCAGCTTGGGACCCTGCAGGGCAGAGGATGCGGCATGTGTGATCAGTGCAGAGCCCACTCTGCTCCACAGCCCCCAGGAACACTGCCAAGCCCTTCCCACAATAACTGAGCCCTTATTGATGACAAGTCGTTACACTTCCCTACTGTACTGTGGGCGCCGGCAGCTCGGCAGCAAGCGCTTACTCTGCATGATGAGAGGAAAAGCCTGCTGGATAAAGACAGCACTGTGTTTTATACCACAACTGCTTGTCTTCCTTTGGTGGCTGTTAGGACACATTCAGCATATGGCACACTCATTCCTAGTTGTAAATAATAACAGAACGCATTCAGTTGCCTATTAAAATAAACATATAATCCCCTACAAAGGCTCTTCCAAACCTCAGACATCCCAATGTGGGAACATCTCACGCTGCTCTTCCCTCCCCTTGCCATGCCTTGCCGGAAGCAGCCAGCCTCAAGACATCGAGATGTTGCAGCTGGTGCCTTGCTTGCTGCCTACAACTTTCCCACCCTCTCCAAATTACTTTGAACCTCAGGACCTGCTGGTCCATCCCCGTCTGCGCACCTTGTCCTTCACAGCCAGCAATAATTGCCCAGTGAATGCCTTCCCCTTGGCAATATGGCAGCGGCGAGGACCTCCTCCCAGCTTGGCTGGGGCTGCTGCGGTGCCAGCTGTTGTGAAAGCACACAGCAAACACCCCAACCTTCTTTTTTCTTTCTCAGTAGTCATAGTTTGAGTCTACACAACACTATCGCACAGGGCTGGTTTGTACACACATGCACAACCCTTTCACCTTGCACATAACTCAGCATCCAGGCACCGTTCTGTGACCATCTGCACAGGTCAAGGGCACTCATCCTACCTGACCCTCAAGGCAGAATGGTGGGCACTCATCTGAGAGCGAAGGCTGCAGCACTGGCTGGGGGGTCTGCACCCCAGCGGTGGCCGATGCCTCCATCCAGATGGAGCTGCTGAAGGGAGAAGCTGCAGTGAAGACCTCAGACTGCAGGAAGTGCCTAGACCCTTCTCCTGGGGCAGGGACAGGCAGGCCTGCCTGCAAAAGGTGTACCCAGGTGGAGGACCTCCTGCAGGGGAGGTGGTGAGAAGGCTACATAACATCAAGGAGGCTGAGAAGGAGTTAGATAGCTGGTGCCAAGAGCAGTCTGCAGTGGACCCACAGCCCATGGCCAAACAGCCAAAAACTCCCCCACCGGCACACACAGAAGGGAGGGGGACCAATAATGCAGAAGAATGGATGGTTGCAACGGTAACAACCAGCAGGAGGAAGAGACTTCTCCCGAAGCCTGAGGTGCCCTTGCAGAACTGTTTCACTGCTCTGCAGACTGAAGAGGAAAGACCTGTCACACCAGGAGAGACGCTGGAGCTGAGTAAGGCAGCATGACAGCAGCACAGCTAAGAAAAAGCAACAGGTGATAGCAGTAGGCAACTCTCTTCTGAGAGGTATGGAGGCACCCATTTGCTGACCTGACCTCTCTGGAGAGGTGTGCTGCTTACCGGGGGCTCGTATCAGGGAAGTCACCAAGAGACTACCAAGCCTCATACACTCCACTGACTATTATCCACTGCTGTTGTTTCACGTGGGCACCAGTGATACAGCCAGGAGCAGTCTGAGGAGTATCAAGAAGGCTTACAGAGCCCTGGGACTGGCGGTAAGGGACTCTGGAGGGCAGGCAGTTTTTTCATCAGTCCTCCCGGTCAAAGGGAAGGGGTTTGAGAGGGCCAGTCAAATCTGGCAAATCAACAAATGGTTACAGGACTGGTGCCACAGCCAGGGGTTTGGTTACTTAGACCATGGGACTCACTTTGAGAAACCTGGTCTACTATGGGCTGATGGGGTCCATCTGACGGAGATGCAATCCATGAGGTTCCTGGAATAGGTTGATGATAACTTCCTTCTCCAAGTGATAGAGGAGCCAATGAGGAGAGGTGTTATGCTGGACCTTGCTCTCACCAATAAGGAGAGGCAGGTGGGGAATGTGAAGATCAAGGGCAACCTTGGCTGCAGTGACCATAAAATGGTGGAGTTCAAGACCCTTAGGGAACCGAGGAGGGCGCACAGCAAGCTCACTACTCTGGACTTCAGGAAAGCAGACTTTGGCCTCTTCAGGGATCTGCTTGGTAGAGTACCACAAGATAAAGCCCTGGAGGGAAGAGGGGCCCAAGAAAACTGTTTAATATTCAAGGATCACCTCCTCCAAGCTCAGGAGCAATGCATCGCAACAAAGAGAAAGTCAGGCAAAAATGCCAGGAGACCTGCATGAATGACCAAGGAGCTCCTGGACAAACTCAAACACAAAAAGGAAGCCTACAGAGGGTGGAAGCACAGACAGGAAGCCTGGGAGGAATACACAGAAATTGTCTGAGCAGCCAGGAAAGCTAAAGCGCTGATAGAATTAAATCTGGCCAAGGATGTCAAGGGCAACAAGAAAAGCTTCTATAGGTACATCAGTGATAAAAGGAAGACTAGGAAAAATGTGGGCCCTCTCTCGAAGGAAACAGGAGACCTGGTTACCCAGGATATGGAGAAGGCTAAGGTACTTAATAACTTTTTTGCCTCAGTTTTCACTGGCAAGTGCTCAAGACACACGGCCCAAGTTGCAGAAGGAAAAGGCAGGGACTGGGAGAATGAAGAACTGCGTGCTGTAGAAGATCAGGTTCGAGACCATCTGAGGAATCTGAAGGTGCGCAAGTCCATGGGACCACCTGTGTGTCCTGAGGGAACTGGCAGATGAAGTTGCTAAGCCACTATCCATCACAAGTTGTGGCAGTCCAGTGAAGTTCTTACTGACTAAAAAGGGGAACTATAATGCCCATTTTTAAAAAGGGAAAAAAGGAAGACCCAGGGAACTATAGGCCAGTTGATCTCACTTCTGTGCCTGGTAAGATCATGGAGCAGATCCTCCTGGAAACTATGCTAAAGCACATGGAAAATAAGGAGGTGATTGGTGACAGACAACATGACTTCACTGAGAGCAAATCATGCCTGACAAATTTGGTGGCAAATTTGATGGGGGTTACAGCATTGGTTTGATGGGGTTACAGCTTTGGTGGATAAGGCAAGAGCAACTGACATCATCTATCTGGACTTGTGCAAAGCATTTGACACTGTCCTGTATGACATCCTTGTCTCTAAATTGGAGAGACATTGATTTGAGTGATGGACCACTCAGTGGATAAGGAACTGGCTGGATGGTCACACTCAAAGAGTTGTGGTCAACGGCTCAATGTCCAAGTGGAGACCAGTGACGAGAGGCATTGCTCAGAGGCCGGTATTGGGACCAGCGCTGTTTAACACCTTTGTCAGTGACATGGACAGTGGGATTGAGTGCACCCTCAGCAAGTTTGCCAGCGACACCAAGCTGTGTGATGCAGTGAATATGCTGGAGAGAAGGGATGCCATCCAGAGGGACCTTGACAGGCTTGAGAGGTGTGTGTGCAAACACAATGAAGTTCAACACGGCCAAATGCAAGGTCCTGCACATGGGTCAGGGCAGTCCCAAGCACAAATACAAGCTGGGTGGAGAATGGATTGAGAGCAGCCCTGAGGAGAAGGACTTGGGGGTGCTGGTTGATGAGAAGCTGGACATGACCCAGCAATGTGCACTTGCAGCCCAGAAAGCCAACCGTATCTTGGGCTGCATCAAAAGAAGCGTGGCCAGCAAGGTCAAGGGAGGTAATTCTCCCCCCTCTACTCTGCTCTCGTGAGACCCCACCTGGAGTACTGCATTTAGGTCTGGGGCCCCCAACATAAGAAGGACATGGACCTGTTGGAGCAAGTCCAGAGGAGGGCCACAAAGATGATCAGAGGACTGAAGCACCTCTCCTGTGAAGAAAGACTGAGAGAGTTGGGGTTGTTCAGCCTGGAGAAGAGAAGGCTCTGGTGACACCTTATAGCAGCCTTCCAGTACCTGAAAGGGGACTGCAGGAAAGCTGGAGAGGGACTTTTTACACGGGCATGTAGTGATAGGACAAGGGGTAATGGCTTTAAACTGAAAGAGGGTAGATTTAGATTAGATATAAGGAAGAAATTCTTTACTATGAGGGTGGCAAGGCACTGGAACAGAGAAGTTGTGGGTGCCCCATCCCTGGAAGTGTTGAAGGCCAGGTTGGATGGGGCTTTGAGCAACCTGGCCTAGTGGAAGGTGTCCCTACCTTGGGAGACAGGAGGATTGGAACTAGATGATCTTTAAGATCCCTTCCAACCCAAACCATTCTATGATTCTGTGATCTACAGCTAGTTTACGAGGTTCATTTTTCTTAAACCTTCTCCTTCCCCAGACCTTTCATTTCCAGAGTTCAACTGATACACTCATAAGAGTTTGCGGCCAGCAAATACGTGTGCTTGTCTTCCTGTAAACCACCAGATAGCTGGGTCTTGAACCCCACAGGTGGCCTTGCAGTCTTGGGGTAGATGTGCCAAAAAGAAGAAAATTAAAATGCACGCACTTTGGTGTAAAAAGGCAGTAGGTATGAGTGGGATGGTGGCCGCCTGACTTTGCTCACCTCTCCTCACCAAATTACAAGCTTGCTTTGGTGTCTACCTGAAGCAGAAGCCCAAGGACTGGCCTGCTCCTCTCCCAGATGTTGGCTGTGGCTTCTCGGGTGAAAGATGCTCCCTCCGTGTTGCTCAGCAGCTCTCCTGATCGCTTCTGCTATTGCCTCAAATTGGATTAACTTTACCTCACAAGTCTCCCCACAGTCTATTAGAAACAAACCAACAGCTCTTGAGTAACACCTAATTGGATTCCCCCAGCTCTGACTGCATTAGCTGTCTGTCCAACGCCCCTCCGAGTCACTTATTATTACCTCAGGCCTTGACAAACCCATGGAAAATTGTATTACACAGCACAGGCATAAAACCATCAGGACTTTTTGAAGCTTGATCATTACAAAAGATCCTTTTCACTTTTTTTAAAGAGAAAAACAAAAGGGAAATCAGACCGGGGAAAATAATTGTTTCTAAAATCCTGATAACATCAATGCATTGACAGAGGCCAAGCTCCCAGGCCCTGTACAGACAAAACTATGCTGAAGTCATGATATGCCTGCTTCAACTCTTATATTTTAATGCCTTTCTTAGATACAGCAAAAGAGTATCCCCCCCAGCAAAGCCTAGGCAGGCAGGCAGTCCTTGATATCAGACAGTATTGGGGAGGAAAATGGAGTGTGCCATTCGCAGTGATGGAAGTCACTGCTCTGAAAAGCACAATCATCTCCCAGCCAGTGTATGTGGGTTTGAATCCCTACAATTCCCATGCAGAGCTGAGGAAACAAAAGCATATACAGCACCAGCATGACTAAGCTTAAAGTCAGGCTTTGAACTCGTTTTGCTGCAAAGAGGCATTTGGGAAGTTGCACTGGCTACGATTAAAGAAAAAAATCCACCTTTTAATAACCTCCATTCTTACATGTGCAGTTGGAGCTACATATTTCATGAGTGCATCTATTATAGATACCATCTGTATAAATACAGGTATTTATAAAGAGAAATAGCAAGTACGGTTAGCTTGCTCCTCATCTGTATGTAGTGAGTGTGTGTTTGTGTGCATGCCAGAATTACGCAGTGAGAGTAAGGTTTTACAGTTAGAGATAGCAACAGCTTTGGTTTGTTTTAGTTGCAAATTTCCAACATAAAAAGCTGCACGCGAAGAGGTGTAATAAAGCAGTATGAAAGCAGGCAGTGATTAACAGCCCAGAAGCTTCTTTTATCATTATCAGCTATTTACAAAGAAGCATTTATATGTTTCCCCATCCCTGGGGAGCTGGCACTTAGCATTAAAAATGCATGAATAATGAATGAAGCCCTGTGTACCTTATGGCCTTTTAATAATGCAAAAATCTTAGGATTCAGGATATGATACAGGTAAACAAAGGAAAAAAGACTGGTGGGCGGAAAATACTGTGACATCCCTATGCAAAGGACAATTTATAGAGTGTGGGGGTTAAACTGTAAAACAGCAGCTTGTTGTCAAGCTCTTCTCTCTTAATCGGAAAAATAACCCAGGGAGCAGGAACACAAGGAGCAGAGGGTCTAGTCACCGCTATGACTGCAGTCCTGTGAGAGCTGGAGAGGGAGAGGGAAAGTGAGCGACAGAGCAACAACCACCTTAAGGGCATCCTGTGTGTCATCGAGGCAGTAGACCCGGATGCTGTACTCCAGCGAAGAGCAGGACAGCGGTCCAAAGATGGCCAGTTTGAGACGTTTGGCTGCTGCTTTGGTGATTGACTGTCCCACCAAGGCATACGTGCTGAGGGTTTCTGTCAGGATATGGCAGGCCTCTGGGTCCAGCTGGATATAGCACGGAGTGGTGAAGTTTTCCTCCCCGACCACCACCACATCCTAAGGGAGAAAGAGGCCAAGTTAGAGCTCCCAGCCCCTCAGAGCTGCTCTCCTTTGAGACAGCAACGCCCCTTTCAAGCCTGGATGACGCACAGAGTCCTTGCTGTTTGCACCTTAGATTAATCAAGATTTAAAATTCCTGCTTCCAGCTTTTCTCCTGCATAGGCCCAGAGAGGGGATGATTTCTCTGGGGTGCTGATGGTGAAGATGGTGGTAGAAATCTCCTCCTGTCCCTACTCCCCTAAGACTTGCAACTGTTTCCTCTGGGCGCTGCAGTAGCTTTTAAAGCCCTGGGCAGAGTTAGGCAAATGATGAAAATATCACCAATACTTTATTGAAAAAGATATTACAGAACTAATCATTCGGTGACCATGATTTAACATCAGTAGTTGCAGGTGTGTTGAAGAACTAACTGCCCTTCACTTCCTAACCATGACAATAAGGCGTTATAAAAACTCAAGGAAGGAAAGTAACCTCTACGATGGCCAAATGCCACATCTACATGAAATATCACCTGCCGCTTCGTCAGAATAATCCTCCGTGACGAGACTGCAGGGTGAAGAAAAAAAACCACATACAGCCTGAATGCAGACAACCTCCCCACCCTGTGTGTAAAGGAAAACAGGTCCCCTGCTAATTTCTCCATTCAACCCTGCGTGTAATATCCTGCACGCAACACAAGGTGTTTTGAATGGCTTTGAGAGAGAGCAGAAACAAAAAAGCAGCAGTGGATGACGGCCGCCTCTTGCAAAGCCACCAAGCGCCACATGATGCTCGGCACAACTCATCTCTTTCATTCCCCGCTGCCTGCAGGTCTGCAGCACAACATACACATCTGGCAGCTGAGCGGCGTGGGCTCAACTGAAATTTGTCGTTAAACTGGGGTCCCCCAGTCTCAGGAAAGGCAAACATGCCGTGTTTGCAGGGTTGGTACAATCCTTCTGGAGGGCAAGGTGCTGCAGCGCTGACCACACCCCCGCTACGGCCACGCCAGCAACTGGCTCTGGCAGGAGGTGCTGGCCCTGAGCGATGCTGCATGGGTGCGCATGCATGCGCATGTGTGTGCCTGTGTGTATGCATGTGTGCATGCACATGTGGGGCTCGGCCTGGAGGAGCTGCTCCAGAATGGAGTGGAGGAAGAAGATGGCCGTGCGATGGCCAGGGACCCTGTGGGTGCTGCGGAGGCTGCGCTGGCACCAGAGCGTGGGCACGGCTGGTGGAGCAACCACTTTGTCAAGGGCAGGAGGAGGACGGGGGAGAAAATGAAGAGGTGCCAGTAACACACAGACACAAATAAGGAACATATGTGTGGTGCCAAGAGTCAGGCCGGCGGGGTGCAGTTTAGTTGGCGAGACAGAGCCGTGTTTGCTGCACACTCCCTCTCAGCATGAGGAAGAGCCAGTGCCACAGGCAGGGAACAAAAGCAAGAGCCTTTAGAAGGCAATGCCGGACACAGCGCTCTTGCTGCTGTCAGCCCAACTGCCTTCAAAAGCCACCCTGTCCTCATTAAACCTACCGGTAGGAGAAGGTGCCCTTGCCAAATTAATTATGTGAGACCAAACTGGTGGCAGTAGGTACCTAGGAGCACAGAGCTGGAGAGGAAGGCTCTGCCAGGACGGCCCAGCCTTGCTGAAAGCCTCACTTTATGCTCCAGTTTACAGTGGAAGATCCTTCTGCCACCCTGCCCCAGGGCATCCTCCTGCTGCACTGCTGGCAAGGAACCACCCCAGGCTCCCACCAAGCCTGCACTGCCCAGCAACGCTTGAGCAGCTCCTGAGTTAACAGGGTGCAGAGTTGGATCCTGGATGCATGAACTGAATCAAAGTGATGCTCCACCAACATAATAGGAGGGAAAAAGGAAAGAAAAGTAAGGGCTATAAATTTTATTAAGCCGGCCGATGTCTTGATACTGAAGCAGGAGTTCATCTGCAGCATTAATTTCACTTTCTTGAAAACAGACTATAAACCAGGGGAGTTTGAACTACTCCATAAAAAACATTTTCTTATTTCTGGAATCAAGTCAGAAATTATTTTCAGCCGTTGTTTTTTATTTTACCTTTTCTCTTCCTTCTCTCCCCATGACTTCGGCACAATATCCTGCCATGACCAAAAGCTCAAGTGTCAAAATCCTGCAATGAAGGCTATTTCATGCAAAACAGCCAGAACTAGGAGGCACCAAACTGCCCCAAGACAGCACCTCTGTATATGCACTGAGCAGCTTAAGATACTTGGTGGACTCCTGCCTGCCCGCAGCAGCCATGCATGTCACACGGAAAACCTGAGATACAGGCATCCTGGTTCGGAAAGGCAGCCGAAGGATTAGGAGAGCGCCCTGTACGCAGTCAGCACGCAGGCTGGAGCTCCGGAGCCTCACCTCCCATGGCCCCTGGGCAGCCTGGTGCTTCAGCTGGATCTGCCAGTCCTCCGTGTTGGGTTCTGCGCAGTGGTGCATGGTTAAAATGACGGGCCGGGTTAGCAGTGCTCCTGGTGGGCCGCAGCTCACCACTGGCGTCAGCAGGGTTTGGCTGTCTTCTATAGGTGGCCTGACAATGGGACAGAAAGATGGATACGTTAAGTGAGTTGAAAAAAGCAAAAAGGTACATTCAGGTATGTAAAAATAAAAAAATTCCTTCTCTTAAAATAAAAAGATTGTGCAAGCAAAGAATGGGTGGGTTTGGTTTGGGTTTTTTTCTTTTTTCCAAATCCCAAAATGTTGTGGGTTTTTTTTTTTCTTTTCCCAAATATCACTCATTTGTCAAAATGCAGGTTTAGGTGGCAGCAAATTATAGACCGCACTTGCTGAGCGCCCCCGGCTCTGAAGGATCCTTACAGACCATATACAGAGGCTTCTTATATTTTACCCAGTGCTGAAATGTGGTCACTGCTGCATTTGGCAGTTGTTTAGGAGCATACAAAAATAAGCAGTGGCTCTTGTAAGCACCATGTGTGAGAATTATTTACTGTCTGGACAGAGAAAATTGAAGAACAAAGGAAGAGAATGAACTAATGAGCAGGTCTGAAACCTTGTAAGTGGTATACAGCACATCTGAGACGTGCAGTTTGGATTCAGAGCCATCACCAAACCCACTGATACTCCATCTTACTTAACAGGCATTCAGATCTACTAGAATGGCTTTTGCAAATATGCCTGTGGGGAGTGGGTGTCACTGGCAGTAGTAGGGCAAGGGCGAAGGGGTGGA